AGTTCCAAAACTGCTAAACTGTAGGCACAGAGGCACAGATAAAATGTCTTCAATTCTTCCCCCCTATCGAAGGAGTGCAACAAATGTAAGTATTAGAAATACTTACCTCCACAGCACTTCTAAGTTTGGGGACATCATCGGTATATGATGTCCTGGGTGTGCTCCTGTATGCTCACCATCTGCTTTGAAAGATCTATTGAGCTTGGTTCTAAGGATTAAGATGGGACAAATAGCAGAATATTATAGAATGAAACACTAAAACAGTCATATTTCCCAAGTGTCTTGTATCTGCTGAAAGAACACTTTCTGAATGCATAAAGGATACCTCTCATGCGCCAAATAACTCTGCTCATTAGATTCAGCATAAGATTCTATTTATACATTATGTTAGTGGTTTTTCTAACAAATTAATAGATTAGGAGAAAAATCTATTTAAATTTTTTTTTCTCCCAGCTGTCAATCAATGCCTCGATGTGCTGAGGCATTGACTAATAAGGGAGACAGATAAGATCTTCTATAGTAGGTCCCTCTGCTCTTCACCCATAACAACCACAGCGCGTAGGCTGTGGTTGCTCTGGAAACTCCCTAGCTAGCGGATCTAACGCCAACTAGGGAGAATAGGAATGGAGTGACATTACGTCACTCTATTCCGATGCTGACCATGAAGACAATGTTTGCCATGTGTGTCTTGTGTGTGCCTGTCTGTATGTATGTGTCTGTCTGTATGTGTGTATGTGTGCTTGTCTGTGTGTGTGTGTGTGTGTGTGTCTGTATGTATGTATATATGTGTGCCTGTCTGTTTGTATGTGTGTGTACCTGTCTGTTTGTATGTCTGTGTGCCTCTGTGTGTGTCGCTCTGTATGTATGTATGTGTGTGTCTGTCTGTATGTATGTGTGTCTGTCTGTATGTATGTGTGCCTGTCTGTTTGTATGTCTGTGTGCCTGTGTGTGTGTCGATCTGTATGCATGTATGTGTCTGTGTGTCTGTCTGTATGTATGTAAGTGTGCCTGTCTGTTTGTATGTATGTGTGTGTATGTATGTGTGTGTGTGTGTGTGTGTGTCTGTGGGGGTTGGGGGGGCACGGATCAGTTTTGCACCGGGGCCCCATGGATTGGGTGTACACCACTGATAATAGAGCACTCTTTTTATCAAATGAACTGAAGAAGTTTGGTTATTTAGTTGATTATTTAATTGTGGGGAACTGGTCCTTATACAAATGACAAAATATGGGCAAACATGTTTTAATTGGAACAATGATCAAATCCTCCTATTTTTTCCAACTTGGACATACTGTTGTGAATTAGAAATTATGTTTTCATGTTCCCACCAGGTTTATGGATAAATCTTACCACTGTATCTAAGCCTTTTTAAGGCAGCTGATCTGACAGACCTAGGAGAGAAAAATATGCGATGTTTTAAAACGCAGCTCCCTACTTTGTACAGCAGAGGGCGCCCAAACGCCTTTTACCAACATCACAAGCCCCACTAAAATGTACAAATTCATAGCTGTTATTTTTGATTTTTATGACTTATTTATGTAGTGCCTATATTTAACAATACTGTTAGCATTTGAAAATTCGTTTTAGAGAACAGATTTTGCTACATAGCATCCATAAAAATGTAAAGGACTGCTACACCCATACAGGAGTTATTTTTGTGGTTTGTTTTTAATATAATTCGTCTGTAAAACGAAGCATTTTGTTCCAGAGGAAGATTAAATATTGCAGGCATTCTCATACTGTACAATGAAATGGAACAAGCATTTTAAAAAGGCGGCTGTCATTTTTTTCCCCCTTCTTTCAAATAGTCAGAGAGACTTTAAAATACAATACGTTCAATAATAATCACATGCCACAAAAAAAACAAAACGATTTATTCAGAAAAAAAAATAACCATTTGTCAGGCTGAAATGATGCAGCTACCGCTTCTAATTCACAATCGCTTTGTCCTCTTAGATTTGCAGCGATAAATAATCTTGTCACAGGCGAAAGGGGATTTTTAACCCTCTCAGGAAGGATTCTGTTGTATTGATATGGTCACAAAATGCTGAATTCTCCCTCAAAGATTAAACTTTGTGTGTATAGAGGATGTCAGTGCAAAAAACTGTCAGAGCATCATGGGACTTGCTATATGTAAATGTACTCAAAATAAATAAAATAAAAAAAGTATGTATATCTATATCTATATATATAACATACATACACACACACACACACACACCACACCACACACACACACACACACACACACACATATTTATACTCAATACAGACAGATTAATATTTGCAATGGGGTTAATCTGTTCTAGTAACAATTACAATGGGGTTTTTTTTGTGTTTTTTTTTTTTTTAATTCTTTTTAAAAATTTCAAAACTATTAAGTAAGAAGTGCCCATAACACACGTCTTTTTAGAAACGTGTCTGTATATGTACTCTTTAGGATTTTGGGGTTCCCAATCCCAGTACCCTCATGTCCCCCCTCCTCCCCCCCTATATTGTCACTGCAGTGTAGCCCAGAAGGATTCTATAACTGCAAATTGTGAAATGAATATAGTGTTGGCATTAACCCTTCCCGTGCTGGAATAGGGAATATCTACATTGACTTACCTTGAAGGACGCTTTCATAACAACGTGTTTGTTGGAGTCTATTGCTAAAATTCGTGATTCTTCAAACGTTTCTCAGGAATATTAAGCAAACCGTGGATGTTCCAATGTTTGTACCTTTTTTATATAATTCAAATATTTTGTTAAATCTCTTTCACTTCAGTTTAACGCAGGTGTCAAACTGTAATTTATTGCAATCTGTTGATTTATATTATGTTGTTTCGTTTTTTTTGTTATTTTGCTCCCACGTACTTTATTTTTTATATTATTTAACTGTAATAAAGGACACAAGTCTTAAATCGTTTTGGGCCTCGGGTTCTAAAGTGCTTGTCTTGATGATCAAATTCTCATGAAAAATAATGAAATGTAATCCATTAAAATTATGATAAATACACAAATAAATAAATGTGAGGAATTGGATAGGAAGAGGAGAATTAAAGATTCAACATATATAACATTGTATCTACTGGATAACTGCTGTTTAACAGTTATGGGGTCCCAGCCCCCTGTTTCTGTTTTGGTTTTGGGGTGAGGGAGCTACCGAGTTTAAATCATGAAATAATAAATGCTGACCCTCTCACCCCTCCCTCTATTTTATTTTATTTGTTGTATTTTTTGCAGGTAACAGGGGAACAGTATGTTCTAAGAGCACGTTCTCTGCTCTGTTTCTTATTGTTTGAGAAGATTTGTGGCTGAGATATATTTCTCAGAAAACCTGACAATAGGTTAATCACTGAAAGGTCAGACTGAGCATTACAATGAGCTACCAGTGTGTTCACTCAATACCAGATCCAGGTCGAAAACAGACCCCAACCCAATATACCTGCCCTCTAATACAGGTATACACTAGAAATAGCTCCCATCATAGAGACATGTAACTGGATAAAGGTGGAATCACTGCCATTCAAATCCACCATGTATGTGAGTTACAGAAAAAAATAAATTAAAAATAAAATGTGAAATCTATGCAATTATATATTACAGCTCTGTGTGATATAAAACAGGAAGGAGGGAAACAAACAGCAATTAGACTTATTACACAATGCAACAAAGAATGACATTACCTTGACTTTTCTTAAATAAAGAGGGGGCTTCAAGCCCTGTATCATTGAGGTAGAAATATGACGCATTTACTAAAATGAGAAAAACATTTTACCAACTGGAGGTTTGTTTTTTTTAATAAGAACAAAATTAGGAAAAGACACATTTCTAAATATAGACTGATTTGGCTGAGTTAAAAAAAAAAGCAATAATAATTCAGGTGGGTTTGGGTAAATTTTTGAATGTGGAATTTCAATTAACAGTAGATCATTATTCAGTGATTAAACTTTTATGGATTGAATGGATAATTGAGAGAGTAAATGGAAAGAGAGATGGATACATTGTATTCCTTGCTCATCACATCGATGAGAGGCTGGTTCTGTTTGGCTCTGTTTGGTACCGATTCTATAGGAGCCCAAATATGTTGCTATTATTTAATGACCCATCTTATCACAGTGATTTGTTATATAGTATTACAATCAGCTTGTTATAAGACAATTATAGAGATTTAAAGATCCAACCCATACCCTCACACCCCTACCACTAACCTTCTCCCCCTCGCCCCACCACCCAAAAAAAAAAATATTATTGCCAACTAATCTGGCTGCAATTTAACCCTTTTGCTCCTGGCAAGCTTGCACATATTGTTTAGTGTTAGTCAAGTGAAAAGAAAATATGTCAGTAAACAAATAATAACAATGTATAATAATCACCATGCAATATTTAGTGATCTAATGACACTATTATAAGTACAGGTTCCCCTTTTGGTGGATGGAGTGAACTCAAAGCTGTGTGTTTAAATGATACTTTTTAGTATTAGTAAAAAATGTTTTGTGTAATTTGTTTTTCACTTTTTTTTTTCTATAAATGTTTCCCCCTGTTTCCTCTCCAGACCATGCTGTGGATATAGGTTCTGAGCTGTACATTGTGTCCCTTGAGTTTTCAATGCTCCTTTTTTTTTAACCCTTTATCTCTTGGCTTCTCTCTGTCCCTCTTTTTAAATAATGATCCACCCCATCCCTGCCTGCTACAGAAAGCATTAGGGTCCCAGCTCACTGAGAACTGGCTGCACTTCGTGCCAATAGTCAGATCTGTGTCATTTGCTGCTGCACTTGTAGTTGTGCTAAGTAGAGCCAATATCCCTTTGTACTAATAGTCTTGTCCTCATTTGCTGCCTAATTGCACTATATAAAGCCAATAAGAGGCGAGGTCTTCTTGCCCAGAGCCAAAGCACAGAGTGTGGGAGTTGGGGCTGGTACTCAACCCTTCCTCCTCCTCCTCCCCCCTTTAGCTCCTCTCTCCCTCCCCCCTCCTCTCTTTGGCTCTCCCTTCTCTTGTCTTTTTCCCAGTTTGCTGTCAGCTTTCCCAGTCTGCAGTTGTTGGTGGCTGCCCTGGATGTCTCTTTAGCTTTTTTTAGTTTGTCCTGGTATTTTATTTAAATTTGTGGCCTTCTAGATGTTGCGCTGAGACTCCTTACCAAGGTCTTCTTCTGTCTCCTTCCCACCACCTGCAATCTCCTGGATTTAAAGGGGACCCCACACCCCCCTTTTTTGGGAAAGGTTTTTGGCTTCTTGATTTTTGGTGGATGGTCAGAACTCACCTAAACCATGCCTGAAAATGGACAAGAAACCAGCAGCACCCCTGCCAAGGAGTCACCATTCTCCATCAAAAGTCTCCTGACCTGCGAACCAACTAGGGCTATCCGCCCCCCAAAGGCTCTATTCACCCCAATCAAGGGGACCCTGGAGGGGACGACCTTTGCCCTCTCCCCACTGACTGACCTCTCTTTCCCTCGATTAGAGATCCCAACCCAGAGATTCACCTTACCTGCTCATTACCTGGAGAGATCCCCAGCCTGGTGGTACTCCTACACCCTGACACATGGGGGCCACACACCCAGGACTGAAGGTACATGGTGCAACTTTACTGAGATCTCTCTTTTTTGGAGGGTGGAGGGGGTGATGTAAGGTAGAGGTGTAGAAGTAAAAAAAAATACCATAGAGCACTTAAAAAAAAAAAGTCAGAATTTAAGCTATTTAAGAAGATATGTGTGGAATGACACAGAGTGTATAATTTAAACTGTACAAACTCCACTAATTCAGGATCTAAATATAGAAGCAAATATAATAAGACAGAAAGGGGGCCATTTCAATTAGCAAGTCACATATTAATGCTAAAACAAGTGTATTCACAGGGAACTGGGGGCAGGCTTTGCTGTGCTATGAAACAGGATCTGTGGTTGCAGTTAAATGAACAGTTTCATTGATGCGAAGGTACATAATTAGATACATAGATAGCACCAGTGAGTGAAATCTAGTCTGGCTATTCACATACAGTTTACTGCCCACCTTCATATTATTCTGAATTAAATCAGCTTGTGTCAGTTTTTGACACATTTAGAATAAAATGTGTTCAAACTAAGAGTAATACACATAGAAACATAAAGTCAGAAGAACAATAATGAGAGTGTTTAAAGTGTGCAAAAAATACAATAACAATACAATGTCGTCAGCCTGTGCCTTAGGGAAATTTGTCAACCTTTCTCTATGATATTTTTTCTGTCTTTGTTTAATATAACTCTCTATAGTCCAGGTATATTTTGAGAGCAGGATACATTGTATGTTGTTTTCTGCGTGTACTGGAATTCTTTGGTCATTTCAATGAGATACACCGAGGTTCTAAAGTGGTGATGTCATTGATCTGGTGTTGTGGCTTTGGGGACCATTGTCCTGATAATGTCTTTTTGATGAGACTGATGATGATGGTGGTAATGAGGAAAGTGATGCTTGATATTGTGACAGTGACTAACGACTCTTGTTTTTGGTTTCTTTTTTAGTGTCAGAGAAAAGCCTTCTTCTCGGCCCTTCCTCTCCTGTCTCTGGGGGTGAGAGGGACTCTCCAGAATCCATCAAACCAGACCTTGACGCCAAGGAGAGCGATTCAAAGAGTCCAGAAGAGATCATTTTGGAAGAGAGTGAGCCTGAGGATGGTAAGAAGGAGGAGAGTGGAGAGGACTGGAAGAAGCGAGAGGACAGTCCAGAAAAGAAGCCCTGCAGGAAGAAGAAGACCAGAACAGTGTTCTCCAGAAGTCAGGTCTTCCAGCTAGAGTCCACTTTTGACATGAAGAGATACCTGAGCAGCTCAGAGAGGGCAGGACTGGCAGCCTCTCTCCATCTGACAGAGACTCAGGTCAAGATCTGGTTCCAGAACAGGAGGAACAAGTGGAAGAGGCAACTGGCAGCAGAACTAGAAGCTGCCAACTTGAGCCATGCAGCTGCTCAGAGAATTGTGAGGGTCCCCATCTTGTACCACGAAAACTCCTCCAGCGCAGAAAGTGGCAACTCTGCGCCCAATGTGCCAGTCAGCCAACCCCTTCTGACTTTTCCTCACCCAGTGTATTACTCCCATCCTGTGGTCACATCAGTCCCCCTGCTCAGACCTATCTGAGAATGCCCCATCCCCATGATCATTGCCACTGGGTCAAAAATGAACTTGATAGCCCTGATCCAGAGGAGAAGGGACAAAATGACCAAGTGACAAAGCTGCAGGACTCCTCCAAAGAGTATGTAAGTACTGAAGGTGGATGGACATGAGCCTCAAACAGCACACTCCGGGCAAGGAATCAGCATGGTTGTTTAAGAAAAACAAAAAGATTACAATAAAATACATTTTTAAAAATATATATATTGAAAAGGACTCCTGGCACCACAGATTCTAGACTTACATTTGAAAAAGTGAACAACACCATACAAATCAGACTCGCTGATATTTGAGAATCTTTTTATTTTATTTATTTTTTAGAGAAACCAATAAAATGAAATAAATAATAATTTTTTTAAAAAAGCAGACAGCCCCATTTGGTGACTTGTTCAATTTGCCAAAAATACCCAGTCCCAAATGAACTTCTTTTAATCCAAACCTCATCACTTCACCTGCAAAAAGGGTAACTTTGAACACTGTATTTTTTTTTAATTAAACTTAAAAAAAAACACACAAAACGAACTATTTCTATACATATTTTATCCACAATTTTGTAACAGTTGTTTCTTGTTAGTTTTTTTGTGCATTTTAACCATTTGCACCCTGTTATTTATTTATTTTAAATCCTTACCCATTCCTAATACCCAAGACTTATTTTCAAATAGTCCTCTCCCATGAGATTGTTTAACTTGAAACTAACTGTTCAATTTTTTTTTTCAATCGTGTTTTTAATATTTCTGTTTTGTAATATAATTATTGGACTGTGCAATACGACATTGTTTAATTCTCTCTGAAATCTTTCACAGAAAAAACAAAAACAAAAATAACAACAAAAAAAACAACTTTATTTTTGCTTATTCAATATTAAATGGAAAAAAATAAAGGGAAGAAAATACAAAAATGGAAGTGAAATAATGAAATATGTTTCTGCATCACCAAAAAATAAAAAAATAATTAAAAAAATGGTGATATAATAAGCAAAAATGAATTAAGCTGAACCAGATAGGCTTGAAAACCGGTTGTGTATGAAGTGAAATGTAAATGAAAGCAGATGAATGTTTAAATATATTGGGTCTGCTGTGAGGAAGCTGGGCTTGGTAATAAGGGACAATCAATAATATAATTTAAGTTATTTTGTAAATGTAAAGTCTAGAAGAATTGAAGAGACTCTTGTAGCTATGAGTCCATGAATTCTTTTTCAGTCACTTGTTTGAAAAGATAGTTATATGGACAGAGGCAGGGCATATTCCCCAATCTGTATCCTGAACATGCTACTGTCTTTTTTTTTATTATTATTATTAATAAAATATATTTGTTAAATGAATGTTTGTTGTGAAAATTAAATAAAAAAAATACACTTTCCTTAACCTGTCTTTGTGTCGTTTGCCTTAACACCTGAAAATCGTTTTTTTTTTTTTTTTTCCAAATGCGTAATTATCAGACCAGAGGTTTTTTTTTTGGGGGATAGAATAGCCTTTTAATAGTTTTCTTTTAATAACTGTAATTGCAAGCAGATACGTCTATAATTATCATGATCATGCCATTATTTTTATTTTTATTATTTTTTATTAGGTCAGTAATTCTGCAAGTTTTATCTTTAACAGATTGAACAAATAGACATATTATTGTGCGTAGCAGAAGAAAAATAAAGAACTAAATTAGATCTAAATATGTGAGAGAGCTATGGAGTCTCTTGATTCTATTTTCTATTTTGTGTGTATTTCCAACCATGTAGAATTTCAGAGATTATTACATTTCCTCTTTATATTACCTGTCCTTGGACCATTGTCTAAGCGCAAGCTGTGGGATTTCAAATGCGTTTAAGTCTCTTTATTGCACGTATAACGGTTTGAAATAAAATATAAATGAATATTTCTATACAGCTTCACATTCCACAGAGTAGAACCGGTTTAACAACCTGTCTCAGCCATTCTCTAAGTGTGGATGTAGCTGTTAATTTTTGGCACTTTGTCTCAAGAGATAACATGGTAAGTAATCCAGCCAGTTACTAGTGGTACTGTATATAAACCAGTTTATTGCTTGGAATTAAAGCGATTTGCTTATTAAAGAATAAGTAAAAGTTGAATAAGCTTTTCATTAAACTAGAAAATACTGGGTACAGTGAGACTTTTACTAGAAAATATTTAAAATCAGGTATTAAGTTTTGGCACCTCACCTCTCTATCCAAAGCCTGCGCATTAGTACCACTTAATAAACCAGTTAATGTATATAAATTATTATTATTATTATTTTTAATATCCCTGTTTTATTATCACGGATCTGGAGCTAGTTTTCCTTAAATCTATAAAGCAAATGCTGCATCAAATCAGAAGCTCTATAATATATTTGGATTCACACTGCAGAAAATATATTCTAAATTAAGACAGCTTTCAGGGGTTACAGTATAAACCGGTTTATTTCTCAGAATTAAAATGATATGATTGTCACATACCTGATCACAAGTCCAGTGGTCAATTCTTATTAAATACACACAATGTAGCACACCATTAGACTTTCCCCCTGTCTTTGTCAAGCCCATGTCATCCTCACTTCTTTCTCAAACCCCAGTAGAACCATATTATTTTAAATTGGCACCAGGATTGATATTCTCTCTCTATTGTATGTTAACACAAACAGTGTGTACGTGGGTATTTTGTGTTTATATACCGTATTTATTTTAGTAATATGCATGTTTGCCTTTGGAATGAATTAGACCATTCTTGAATTCGTGAGGTTTTGTTTTAAGCTCTGAACCAGTTCTTTTTGATTCATTGGATAATGTCTGGTTATTTTCAGTAATTTCACAGGCAGCCAGTTCTTGTTGTGATGTTAAAAAGATAATATCGTTTTTGGTTGATAGAAAACTAACCCTTCAAATAATTTGTGTGTACTTTTTTTTTTTCTTTTCTTAAATGTATTTAAAGGACAGACAGAGAAAACCAGAAACGTTTATTTTGAGTTAGTTGGGAATAAAAACTTTGGCATGTGACCTAAATGAAAAAAATAAACAGAAATTCTAAGTCAAAATATGCTGTCTCTTGTGTATGCTAAAAACATAGGGATGCTTCTTCTGTTTGCAATACTAACTTTTAAAGAACTCAAAAGCAGATCATTAAATTGTTTCAATAGCAAACATGATCCAGATTTTACAGAGATAGTGACATGTTACCAAATCAGAAGAAAATACTTCTTTATTTGGGGTTAGTGCCTGCAAATTTCTTCTTGATGTATCCAGAGTGTACCAGCACAAGGGATGGCTAGATTGTATTCAGTACAGACTGGATTTGTGTCTTTGTATCAAAATGTATCACTCCTAGTTCAAAGGAAGCTCTTTAAAAAGTCTTCTATAATGGTAGACTCCTGAAACCATTGATCTCTGACCTTTGCTGTAGAGGTGTCTCCAATGGTGCACATACAGTCAGGCTCAAGGACTCAAGTGTGGCTAAGCATTGTAGGAAATGTAGTCCAGGAATATCTGCAGTGCCAACATTGGTTTTCTTTGACCTGGATAATTCTCTGTTCCCAGGTAACATCTCACACTCACTCACTGCACACAGTTGACTTAATCTCTTAGAAAATAGGAAACAGACAAGTGAAAAAAATATATATTTTTTGTTTTTCCTTTGGCTGATAAAAAAAAAATAATTATTGAATTTGTACTAGGTTTAGAAAATTGGCTGTTTGAATAAACTGTAGGTACCACATTTTGCTAGTGATGTTGCTTCTATAAACAAGGAGAAAGATGCTTTCTTGTGGAGTCCTATCATAGCTTGATGCAACACTAGATACACATCTGATTGACTTTTACTGAATAAAGAAGGCTTGTTTTTGTCATCCTTCCAAGTATGTCTTGCTGTGGCATTCTGCAACATGAAAGAGGGCTATAAAAGTAGGAGATAGTCGATTAATTTCAATATTTTTTATACTGCTGCTTTCTTTCTCTCTCCTCAGCTAAATATTCTATGAACAGAACTTAGCAACTTCCAACAGATTATTAAAGAGATGCCAGACTCTCATTATTTCCAGTGGAATTCCCCATGCAAATACATGATCATAAAATTCAACCATGTTTTACATATACCCAGGATAAAAATGGATATTCATTTTTTTTCTATGGTAAAAAATAGGGCAAGTAAAAAATATAAAAAAGTATTCTGAAAGTATTTAATTTAATTTTGCATGCTTTAAAAAGAAAAAAGGATTGGATAGGATTTTATAAATAGAAAATGGAAGATTTGAAACATGTTGACTGTTAATTTGCAGAGACATGCTAAAATATATTCTGGATTTAAAATTCTGCATTTTTTTTATTGAAGATGTTCAGTACAGATTTTTGTAAAGAAGCAGTTGCTAAAAAAAAATATAAAATATAAAAATACTAAATAATAACAAAATATCACCAAGGATAGAAATTAGAAAATTGAAGAGATCAATGATAAAAAGAAAAAAAACATTTTCTTTTACAGACAATTATTTAAGAATAAAAAGTGCAGGACTTGACTCAGATCCACTGATATAGCATAGCCACCTGTGTGTGTTTTTCAAGCAAATGGCACGCTTCCCTATGAAGCAAATTAAACAATTAGAGAGACAAAGAGGTGCATTTTTTTTTCTAAAATAAATAAGGTTCTCTGTGGTCCAAATAGACATAAAAGATGGAGAACAAATGCTGAATGTTGGTTAAAATAAACAGCTGGCTACTTCTCAGGAAATGCAATTATATGAAGAGGACAAGATAAAAAAACAATCGTTCCCCCTGCCTGTCCCTAAAATATCCCCACTACACTGTAAAATGTGGAAAGTGGAGAGGGCCCTGGGAATATCATTTTAAGACTGAGATGCATTCAGTGGTAATTAGCCAAGTGATGGCGCAACTGCTTTTGGCACAAAGACCTTGTACAATGCGCAGGGCACGGTTGGCACAGATCCCTTTATATTCCAGTAATCAGACCTCTTACAAATCAGGGGTGTTTTAAACTACCAAGGCATGGAAGCTGGGTTGGATATACTAGAAACTGGAATTTATTCTCTAGCTTTTGATAATATGATTTATTGAGGAGGGCGCCCTGTGGAACAAGGGATGGCTGGCACAATGTGTGCCACATGGCACAGAGGATGGAGGGTTTTACTGTAAAGCAGATATAATCAGCAAAGCCCGGGGACAGCTTATAGGAATGTCTTGCAGGGTGAGGGGTGAGCTTGTTAGCAATGTATGGTGCCCATTTTGCCCTGTGAGAGCCAGCCCTGGCACAAAGTGTTTGGATATGGCTGGGTGCCACTGTGTACCTCCCTCTGTGCCTATGCCCTCCTTCTTCTCGCTGTGCAGAGGGCACCAGGCTACTGTGCTCCTGATCACTTTGATTTGGGTAATTCAACTTAAAGTGCCCCAGTTTTCTGTGCAATCTAGTAATAAATCCTGGGCCACTTGTGTTGATTCCTCTGACTTTGGTTACTAAATCTGTGCGTTTGTTTGCAATTAAAAAGAAATGTATTTGTACATGTCCAGTGTTTTGAGACTGGCTGAACAGATCTAGCTTTGCTATTTGTATTAAAAACACACTTGTATTTCTTTTATTTGATAGTAAATATTCAGTCTTTGTGTACAGCAAAACACTGGGGAGAAATATATAAACTTCAAGACACTGCAGTCCCTTTATTCGGAATCAGGAGCAGTCTGTTGCCAACTCCTATGTAACACTGAGCATCCCAGGATCACGCACTGCAGGCTGCACTCTCATCACACCTCCCTCCTTCTTCAGAAGATAACACAATCCTAAAAAGAGGTGAGTGGCCACTCAGTTTAACCCTTTCACCACCAATGAACTCTCAGCACTGCCATTATTGCAAAGGGTTCTTACTAAAATCCACGCTGTTGAAAGGGTTAAGGCCCCATGCCATCGTGATCCCACCTGCTAACTCCAAACTTAACCCTTTGAGTGCGAGAGAACCAGCAGCCCCGTGGCACCCAAAGGGTTAATCGCCCAGGCGCCACATTCTAATTGCCATTTTGTATTGGAAGGTCATATGGCGTTTGTTGGTATCCAGAGTATTAACCCCTAGCATCTCAGATGGAATAGTGAGGGTGGTAAAAAAAGAAATCATGACTCAAACAGTTAATTTAATTAATATCTGTTTGATGTCTATCTGTGAGAGTATGCATTAGACAGCAAATGTTAAAGAATCAGTTTTATTGGAGGGCAGTTTTTTTTTTTTTTTTACTTTATGGGGTTCAATCTATTCTACTCAGTACAGTTATAAAAAAAAGGGGGAGGTCTTGTATTGTATTAACCCTATAAAAAGCAGATTATCACGAAACCATCCACTTCAGTCATCATTTAGGTTAATCATTAAAATAATGTGAATTATTCCCTTTGGATCGAAGTGTCAGTAGTGATATTTCTCTGTGTAAACATTAGATCCAGAATGTGACTTGTTTTTTTGTAATTTTTTTCTTTGTGTGCACTTTGTGTATATGTTAAAATGGTTCCACTATGTACATACAAATGTGTTTCAAGCGTCTTGCAATAATCACTTTAGCCTATCGACTTGTAGCAGTGTTCAAACAGAATGAGGAGCCCATTAAGTTACATTAACAGATTGCTGCAGCATAATGCTCCGCTCTGTATTGATCGCAAAATGTCTGTAAAATATTGTTTCAAATGTATCTATTGTTCTATTGCTACTCTGTCACTTTAGTGACCTTGATGTGTTCCCAAACAGCCAAATGAGCTTTTGATGTCTGTTATTAAATTAACAAGTTTTTACCAAATATCACTGGGGGGTAGGCAGCATAATAAAAGGGGTCAATAGGGACCATAATGCACTATATTTTTATTTTCTGGTTCCATGGTTTAAAGGACCAGCTCTCAAAATGCAAAAAACACAGGCAGAGGGCTGTATAGATTAGACAAAGAGGGCTATATGCTCAAACAATGAGACATTAAACTGGCAATCTAAAATCAGCAAAGGGTGGTACATGTGGTTAAAGTTCAGTGTTTTATTTTTGTACTTCAATATCCCTTATTTTAATCCATCCTTATGTGACCTTTACAACCAACACAGTACAATTTTACAGAAAATCAGATAAACAAGATAAAATATTTCAACTTATAAAGAGTATGGGAGAGACATACCCTGTCCCTAAAATATAAGTATATTAATATATTCTGTGTAATCTAATGAGATCATAGAACACTCAGAAAACACTTAAATTAACCCAAAATATGTAACTTCACTGGTCCCATGAGCAATACACTTGGCAAATCCTCATATCTCTCCACGCACATACACATAACTTAATATACATGGATACACAGTAAAGGTATAAAGTATACTTGAATGAGGCAACTTTAGTGCAGGAGAAATAAATGCACAATTGGGCCTATATCAGCCAGTTTTGTACTTTGAATCTAAGTGGAACATTAATAGTGAATTCTCCATATCCACATATATGTGTTAATTTTCCTCCCAATTATCAGTGTATCCCATACATTATAACGTTGCCTCTCTGATAGTGGGGTGAAGCATGAGATTTCTCAGCACACTGATGCTTTTAAATAGGAATATACTGTGAGTTAACATCACCAACATGGCCACCACTTCTAGAACCTCTTTATAACATAATACAGGTTGTAGGGAGGGCATTATTATACACCTGTAGGCAGAATGACCAAGTCACTTGGCATGCCTGTCCTGTTAACCCTTCTAATCCCAAATGTCTATTGTCATCTCTTAAAAAACTGAAAGGGTTAACCCTGGCTGTTACAGAAGCAAGATGACACTGTCAACTCAAAGCATGCTTAACTCCCCTGAAAGCAAGCTGCCTGAGAATGCTGATAGGTGCAGTCCAAAGCAGTTAGAGTCCATAGGCTTGTCTATTAGCTAAGTGGAAATTCAAACAATTAGTGATTTATTGCAATTCATCAATGGCCAATGTTATCAATATACTTTTGAGATATAATTCCCTGTCTTGTGCTGAAGGTGGCATCTCCAGCACATAAAGGGTGTTCTTAGCTGGCCAACACACCTCTCCCCCCATTCATCCCAACTGGCCTTGCAGTGTCCCATATCATCATTATTAGAAAATGAATGGGGCCATTAATTATTATTATTTTCATTACCCAAGTCATTATTGAGTGGGTTAACCTCTTACCTCCCACATGGAACTGACACTGCTATGTTCCAACATACTTCCTTTCCAGGAAACAGTGGGATTTTCTAAAAATGGGTCTGCCCCAGGAGCTGTAATCTTTGAGTCTGTTCCTGCTTTTGAGCTTCTTTGTTGATAAAAGAGTAAAGATCAGATTTTCATCAAAGTTCTATTAAGTGAAACATAGGTTGTAGGCAGACCCTGATTGAAACAGTTTAAATTTTAATTGTGTTTTTAATTTGACATATAGTTGAAGAAAGGAATGACACTACAACGCCAAAGGCCGGTCGATTTTCTTAATTTCTCCCAGAGGAATTGATGGGTTTATCAGGCAACTAGATTGGAAAGCCATTAAAGTCTTCTCTGCCTGGGCTGTTAATTGGAACTTGATGGATGAGGTTAGTCAGGGTACTAGGCAATGCTGATCCAATCTTTAGGACTTTCTGTTTTCCAATAAATTACCCAATTCATTTTCCAAGCACAGATTACATAAATTCTACACCTCTAGGGCTCTGGGTTTTAAAAAAAAATATAAAAAAAAAATGACCCCCCTCCTAACCCCCTCCTTGTAGCATTGTGCCACATACCATTTGCACCAAAATATGTTCTGAATGAAAATCGAAATATAATCAACGTTTATACTTAGAAAATTTATTGCAATCATTTTCTCTGGTAATTTCCTTATTTTAAAGTTTGGACATGTCATACATCATCATATCCTCAGCCCCTGTACAGGGAAAAAAATATTCTGTGTTTAATATTTAGTATAGCTTGAATTCAAGATCAAACACATTTATGACTTCATCTGTCATTTACTCACATAGACTTCTTCCAATATCAGATTCGAGCAACAAGCCTATTTTCTAACTGCTGCAGAAAAAAAAGAAGGCAAAAAGATCAATTTTTATTACAGCTTTGTGAAGGCTCACAGCTACCTTGATAGCAGGCTGCATTGCTGATCTGATACAATCTAGCCTTTAACCCCTTCTAGTACATCAATGAGTTTGCTCTAAACTCCCACCAATATAATAAATAGAATCTGTCATTAAACAAGCTCTTTGTCACAAGTGGGTTTAAAGCACTGGCAATAAAATAAAATAATAATAATATAAGAAGATACTTAACTTGATTTAATTTTTCTAGTATAAAAAATATTGTAAAAAAAAAAAAGTAATTCAAAATATTACGGATGGCTGCACTGCGAAACAGGCTTTGTTAGACATAGCACATATTTAAATTCAGCTAACTCAAACACATTTATAAGACTTTTAATCAGGTTACAAGGAATTTCCATCACACTATTTATAGCACCATTTGCACCAAAGTAGTAGTGGTTTAAAAGAACTCCTGTCTAGGTGATTATGTTTTTTTCATTTTTTCATTTTTGACCAAACATGGCTATTTTAGCTTGTAGTTTGCAAATAGGTTGTAAACTCATCACAACTCCCTGTTTAGTGCAGGGATGCCAAAAAGGTAGATCCCCAGATGTTTTAAAACTACAGCTTCCATGATGCTTTGGCATTCTACAGGTACGCAAAGCATCAAGGGCATTGTAGTTTTACAACAATAGGAGATCTACCTTGTGGGCACCTATGGTTTAGTGAAACTACCAAAGATTTTATCTAACTTTGCCATTTTGCCTCAAATTGCCGGTAAGCAGAGTACAACTCCCTGTTTAGTGAAAAGACCCCAATATTTATAATCTCTGGTGGCTATAATGTGGGTTCATGTTGGGCCAAAACTACGCTGATAGTTTTGGTCTGGGGCAAGGGTAGGCAACTTTCGGCACTCCAGATGTTATGTACTATATCTCCCCTGATGCTTTGCCAGCATTATGGCTCTATGAGGACTATGGGAGATGTAGTCCACAACTTTTGGAGTGCCAAACATTGGTCCAGGGACTTACACTGTGCCAAACGTTACATTCTAGGCCGAAATAGCAAAGCTTGAAAAGTGTCTGAGTTGGATAACTTTTCCTAAAACTTTGTCAATTTGGAAAGTTTGGATTACTATTTACGGACATCTTTTCAATTTCTGCTAATTGAGTGCATAGCATAGGGTTAACACGGTAAATTGTTTTATTTTCATTGCACAGCTGTAAACATGTGCCTGAAAATGTTGTTACACATTGTTGCCATTTCTACATTTTTACACATTTATTCTTGAGTAGCTCATGAAATAAACTTTGGAGCCATACAGTTTATAAGGCTGGATTTATTTTGAATTGCAACCTACTCTGGCCTTTAAATGGTTAAGGCCGGAAGTTGTGCTCCTAAGCTCTCCTTGAGAAATAGCTGTGTGATCAGACTCAGCTTTAGTCTTGGATCAGCTTGCAAACTGAGATGCAAAAAGGATTCAACAATCATCTTGAGTTACAATTGCTACACTCTCCTCTCCGCCATTCCCGCCCCAGTTTCTTGCACATCTAAATATTTCATCACACCTGCAAGAATATGTGCAGATGCCACACTGTACAGCTTGCAGTTTTTATGGGTCCTTCCTGGCTCAGCAGTCTGCCATTGGAGTACATCTGGATTATGTAAAATACTAGAATGGCAAAAATGATGGCACCGATCAAACCATGCAGGGTTATTCACTAAAAAGTGAGAAATTTCAAAGTTTCACATTTAAGGTCAAAATAGCCGCACTGGAAAAAAAATCTATGTTTACAGTTAGGCTACTCTGGTCTTAAACTTTAAATTCATTTTGGAGTCCCGATATTGCACATTATGGTGAGTTAAAAAACAAACAAACTAATCTTAAAGGGACACTACAGGCACCCAGACCAATTCATCTTATTGAAGTGGTCTGGGTACAGTGTCCAAGTCCCCTTAACCCTTTCATTGTAATTATTGGAGTTTTTGATAAACTGCAATAATTACTATCCAGGGTTAACTTCACCTCTAGTAGCTGTCTACCAGACAGCCACGAGAGGCACTTCAAGGTCCTTAGCAGACTTTTGGTCTGCTAAATGACACTGGACATCCCCTCACGCTTTGCATGAGGTCATGCAGCGTCAGCTAAAACCACATAGGAAAGCATTAATTCAATGGTTTCCTATGGGGTAGTCCAAATGCGACTGCGGCCCTTGCCGCGCATATGCATTAGGTCATCCTTGCGTCTGACGTCGACCGTGGAGCTGAGCCTGACCCAGCACTGAAGGACAATGACTCTGGAATCAGATAAGTGACAGAAGGGTTTTTAAACCCTCCAGCAGCACAGAGGAAGGGGGCATTTTAGGTCACTATAGTACTAGGAAAACAACTTTGTCTTCCTAGCTGTATAGTTTCCCTTTAAGTAAGACAGGTGGGGAGCTCACATGGAGAATGCCCAGTCATCAATGTGGTTTTGAAATTCCATGCCTAGTGGCCCCCACCAGCCTCATGTTGAGCAAGATCCTTAACAATTAGAATGTAACTGTACCCAAACAACATGGAGAGATGTACCACAGTGTGTAATATGTTGGTGTTTTATACACAATAGTAACACATTACATGACATGCTGTTTGCATCAGTCCTGGTGGCGTTTAGCAAATGGTGAATTGTGGTGAATCAACAATTGAATTGCAAAATGCAGGCCACAAATAGCAGTGCTGAGTCTAGCTTTGGTGTAGTTTTGGAATTCTCTTGTTAATTCTCTATTTACTAAATAAATTCTGCTTTTCTTCAGTTGATATTTTATAACGTATTGTTCCCGTTAGACACTATTGCTATAGTTTCACGAGCTCTCAGTAATTCAGGGTGCTAACTTAATATTGTATAGGAATGCTGAGATGATTTGTATCATTAGTACAGCAAAGGCTTCTGTAATTAAATTGCCATCTTTCTTCTGTTCAGAGTTAAGAGCCGAACTACAATTCTTAAAAAAATTAATGATGGCATCATGCATAGTGGTATTTTTGGTAAAAAAAAGGGAATAATTGCAGACTGAGAGGTACGGGAAAAAATGTTGGGCTAATTATTATTCTAAAAAAACCTGTAAAAATTAATAAAATACCCACGAGGTCACTTAAAGTAACCTGTAACCTACGCTACACATTACAACTAATGTTTGGGTGCTTGTAGTGTCCCTTCCATAACTGGTAAGCAATGCAAACTGTTTATCCCTCTTTCAAGTTTCCGTGATACTTGATTTTAATCCTGTACAGTTTGGATGGATGGAAATTTTGTTGTTGAAGAAAGAGGTGATGTGACCATCCTTCTTACTTCTCAATACAACAAGCTAAATATAGAAGTAGCTCCTTTGAGACACCTCTTTATAAGGATAATACCTACTCATTCATAAATATAAAATAATCTCAAATAAGCACTATTGCTTTTTTTCCAGGCCATTTTAATTACAAGCTAAAGTCATGTGAAACAAAGTGAGGGTACTGATAAACTGAAACACTGTGTTGCCATAGGAGCAGAAAGAAAAACAAACAAACAATTTTTAAACACTTTTTGTTTTGGTTTGTTATTGGTTTAATTTTATGGAGGAAAAAGAATATCAAATGGCATCTGTTCACAATCTTTTTTTTAATGAGCTGGAGTATAACATTGAAGGGACACTATAGTCACCAGAACCACTACAGCTTAATGTAGTTGTTCTGGTGTCTATAGCCTATCCCTGCAGGCTTAGCTCTGTAAACACTGCTTTTTCATAGTAACACCTCTAGAGGCAGTCACTTAGATGGCCACTAGTGGTGCTTCCTAGTCCAGTGCTGCGCATTGTGCAGCACTGCCACTCAGTGTCTCCACGCTCTGCATGGAGGAGCTGAATGTTCCTCTATGAGCAGATGGTGATTGGCGCTTCCTATGGGAAAGCATTGAATTGGCTGAGATCATCAAGATTGATCATCTCAGTTATGGATGCAGTACCAGGCGGGGCAAGCCACAACAAAACCAGCGCAGAGTGGGAGAAAATGTAAGTTTTAACCCTTTCATCTCCACGGAGACATTTATATTCTTGATACTATAGTGTTCCTTTAATGTTATAGCTATATATACAGCAGAACATTTAACACTGAAGAATGCATAGCAGAGGGAGGCAGTGCTTCTTGTTGCCTCCCAGCAGAATTAAACTTTTATAAGCTTCCTGGATGGAAGGAGAGATCTAATCACTTTAACTGTTCTCCGTTCTTCGTATTAAACAAGGCACGCATTGGAAGGGAATCCACTTCTGGAGTGTGTGTCTCAGTGACTCTAGATATGATGTGTCTGAAAGATGAATAAGACATTGATTTGTAGAGTATGCTTAGTTACAATGTTGGAAAACCAGCCTGAAAGGCCTTTGAGCTTCTCTCTTCAGCTGACAGATGTGCTCATTTAACAAGCTGAAACTGAAATGGGTGAATAAAACCTGCCCATTTAGCTCTGACAGGGGAGATTTCACGGCCTGTCTAAAGAGGTTGTAAATTCTTTCCCCAATGTTGCAGCAGCAAACTTGCTCAGTTTCAGTCGCTGCGGGCGAAGACCTCCTGCTCCCAGCATATGCCTCTTTCTAATGGCCGTACTAGATGCTATTGACTGGCAAGCAGATCAAGAACCGTAGTCAGTCTATGACCTTTAATGATCCCTAAACACATCTCTTTGCCCCAGGATAGGGGGATGTACAGCATTGGTGTTGCTGTTCTATAAACGACAATGATTCCTAATGTATTTGCAATTAATTGTTTGCTAATATCTTTTTGTTCGTGCATGAATACATCAGAAGGATGGGTATTGATGGGGGTCAGTGCTCTCAGCCTATTCACTGAAGAATGGATTGTCGAGAATTCAGAGTGAATTTCAAATTTCGTACCACAATAGCCAAGTCAGATATGCTTTCAGTTTGGCTATTCGCCATTTAATTTGAAATTCACTGTAAGGATTAGTAACAAAATTAGTAACGAATTGCATGAGCTTAATTAAACAGAGATTCTATGTGTTTCTTTAAGGTCGCTGTACTACCAATGAGTCCCGATGACTCTCTGGCTATTTATTTTTATTCAAAGAATTCTGGGAGTTGTAAGACATCAATGTTTGGGAAGGGGCAGATGTTGTGTTACCAAATCATATAAGTCTTAAATGGTGACTTAAAAAGTTATTGGATCTCGGTTCTGTGTTGATGCAACCATCAAGCTTGTGTTTTCATTTCAACTGACATTAATTGTTGTATACAAATGTACAGACACTAACTTTCCTTGCTATGTATACCTTTCTCATAGGAACACCTTGGTAAACCCTTGGAAAAGGGCATTGCCTATCACTGGCTTTAAGATTGGTGTTTAGTATTTGTAGGGCGTGAGCATCAATCCATTTTTGAAAAGACAAATCTGAACACAACCTCTCATTCATGCAGTGCTTGTCTGTATAAAAATACCACTTACAATATCAATCCAACAAAGACTGAAAAGGGCTTTTTGAATCTCTTTTTGCAAGTCCGCATGGCAGCAGATCTGTCATCAAAGTGTATTCTTTTTTTTTATTACAGTACACACCATAGTTCCATATTGAAATATAAATAAGTTGCAGAAAGAGCAGTTTTGGGCTCGTTATTCACTCTTTTAATTGTGAGCTACTGCTGAACATGTGTGCATGCTCATTTTACATAATAAAATACAGGTTGTGCCTATTGGTAATGGGAGAAAATACAAGACTGACGATTTATAAAATAATTGAATATAATTCTAAAAAAAATGATTCCCTGATTGTTTGTAATAGTCCCAAATAGGTCATTATGATGGTTCTGTTATATTAGGCAATTTTACATGCCATTTCCATTTGTGTTATACAATGAGTTGATTTCAGCCATTGCTCAAATTATTAAAAGATGGATGATAATAAAGAGGACAGAAGAAGTTTGTTATTTTTATGACGCACATTTCTGTGTCTTGGGGGTAGTCCTGAAAGACGTTATGTAGCCCATAGTTTAGGTAATTATTATTATTATTATTATTTTATTATTTATAAAGTGCCAACAAGTACCGTAGTGCTGTACAATGGGTGGACTAACAGTCATGTATTTGTAACCAGACAAGTTGGACACACAGGAATATAGGGAATAGAGGCCCTGCTCAATGAGCTTACTTGCCAGAGGGAGTAGGATATACCATGTTTCCCCGAAAATAAGACCTACCCCGAAAATAAGCCCTAGCTGGATTATCGGGGTGGGCTGCAATGTAAGCCCTACCCCGAAAATAAGACCTAGGCAGGGCCGGCGGCTGCCGGCCCTTTAAATGCCTCAGCCGCCTGAGCGCTCTATAGAGAGCGCTCAGATGGCTGCCACACTGCCTCACCTCCCCTCCCCTGTAGCGTGGCCGAGCTCCTCTCTCCGGTCCGCGACCCGCCCGGACTGACAGGAAGTGCACACTGGGTGTGCACTTCCTGTCAGTCCGGCCGGTCGCGGACCGGAGAGGAGCTCGGCCACGCTACGGAGGTGAGGAGAAGATTGGAGGGGGGGGAGTATTACAGGGAGGGAGGGGGGATAATATTACAGGGAGGGAGGGGGGAGAATATTACAGGGAGGGAGGGGAAATATTACAGGGAGGGAGGGAGGGAGGGGAGGGTCTCTGGGGGGGTTACACAGCGCGGACACCGGCTGACAGACTGGCTCTAAGCCCTACCCTGAAAATAAGCCCTAGTGTGTTTTTTGTGACTAAAATTAATATAAGACCCGGTCTTATTTTCGGAGAAACACGGTAGTGACACAAAAGGTAAGGGTAGGGTGGAAACGTAGCTTGCTAGGATAGTGTTCATTAAGGGCTTAGTTTTTTGTTTTGATGACAGTTTCAGGAGAGGTCTATGACGTTGTAACAAGATTAAAAAAAAAAAATAGATAAGTACAAAAAACATGCAAGTAATTTTTAATGACGAATTTGAAGATGCAGGATGGCATGGATCTCAGCTCTTTTGAAGTCCAACAGTAGGGTAGTTGCGAGTGAGTAGATGATCTTCTCGCATTTCACGAGTCATGGCCCCATGTCCTGCTTTACTACTCTTAGTGGTAGTTCTGGGGTGACGGCTGACATCCACAGATTACATAGTTACATAGTCCTGTTGAAAAACAAAATTAGATGGTCAACATTTCCAAACTCAGAGTCCCCCAACCTCATTTCTAATAATCCACCATGTTTCTTCCATTGTCTTTGAGGTCTTAAACATGCGTAAGTGGTAAACTTTGGGTTTTTTTCCCAGAGTGTCTCCTTTTCTTTATGATTAATCACTTTGTTACATGTAAGTGTAAGCCAGTGCATTGAAATGTTATTAATCAAACCTTCAAGGGTAAAGGATGCAGTTTTTCAAATCAACACATTAATTAATAGGTGCAAACTCTGAATCCCTCCTCTCAAATGATGCTTGAGCCTTTAGGATATTCTCGATGCCCCTTTCTCTTTATTCATCCCTTTGTGCATTTTAATGGCTTGCAGCAAGATTGACAAGTAATTGATACAAAGACTTTATCACACATTTAATTAGTTTAACGCCTTACCCTGACAATTGAAAATCAAGGCCTGGACGTTTCCTGTGTTCGATTTATTTTGTTACTGATCAAGGGCTGGCCGTTTAATTAACTGCTACAGTATGACATGTCAGAGAGCAACCAATTAGGTAAAAGAGATAATCTAGTTTGAATAACCATTTGTATATATATATATATATATATATTGGCCCTCATTACTTAAAGGAACACTGTAGCATTAGAATACATATTTATATTCCTAACACTACAGCCCTTATGCCCCTTGTTAATAAGCCCACCCCAACGGTGTAAAAAAACAAAACAACGAATAACGCACCTCCTCCTCAGGTTTCTCCATCCAATGCTCCTCAGAGAGGAGTGTAGGCGCATTGGTGAACGTAGGTACATGCATGGTGTTCACCTCATATACAATTCCTCCATAGAGAATCATTGTACTCAGTGATTCTCTATGGCTGTATGTTACAGTAGGGCTGTATGGTACGTTATGAGAGCCAGGAAGTAAGAATTCCAGTTGTAATACCCAGAGGGCTTAGAGGCGTGGCTTGAAGTCCCACTTCCATGCATTCTATTCAGTTTAACATTGGGTTTCGGGAGCTAGGGCAGGGTGACCAGCACTGAAAGCACTATAACAACTTCAATAAGATTAAATTGTTAAAATGCCTACAGTGTTTCTTTAAATACCTTGAATCATTTTCGTTCAACATGACAATACTGACATACAGTTGTATTATGTGTAGCGTGTAGATCCAACTTACAGGCCACCAGCAACATGTGGCTCTCAAATGTTTTTGCACATGATAGCCATAAGAACAAAAAACAAAAGTGCTTTAGCAATATTGATATATATAATAATTTAGACTCCTGATCTAGACTATCCTCTAGAAAAATGTTGATCAATAATAATCTAAACGTACCCTACCTATGAAGAAATATCTATATTTAATTCCTGCTATAAGTAGCTCTATGAAGTGAATTAATGCATGCAGGTTAGAAGGAAGCTGATTGAAGACCCTCTGTAGAGCCTTATAAAGTATATAAATAAAATCAGAAACCAGAATATTACACAGCCTTCACTCTCCTTGTAGCCAGTGATTAGTATTCATTCTCTTAGGGAGAGATTTTACATCCTCCCATTCACACGCAATATGTAACCATACAGCCTGACATCCGTCTACCTTTCAAGACTTGAAAACCTCTTATTTCATCCAAAGTCCATTTAGATCCCTTCAAGGTTTAACCGATTATCGCTGGGAGGCTATTCTATGAATCTACGTCTCTTTTATTCAAAGTAGACCTGTCTTGAATATGTATAAATCTTGCAGTACTCACAGGGTCCTCTTAATCTCAAAATAAGTGCCACTCTGTTAGTCAATACCTTCATCAAAAGGCAGTCCTGACTTGTCAAGCATAGAGAGGAGGCCTGCTTAGTGCATTTTACCATGTAAATTAGAAGAAGATGCACTTACCAGACTCAACTCAAGTTTCTGACTGAGCAGATTCCTTGGGTTGAATAACAATTGGTATCTGACTCCTTTAACCATTTGAGTAGAAGAGACACACCGCAGATCTCCTAGCACCTGAAGGGTTAATCATTAAGTAAAACAAAGAAACACATTTCATTTCCAAGATTGTCGGAAAAGCACAGGTCATTATTTGTTGTTCGAATTTTAGAAAAAAAAAAAAAAAGACTTTTGATTATGACATTTTAAAGACAGATAATGAGTAGGTGACTAGCGATCTTCCTAACTGGGCAATTACTTCTCATGGTTTTGTAAATTTCTAAAAAGAGGAATTCTGCTAGTTTGTTTGATGGCAGAATTTTTTTTAAAATAAAACAAAACATTTTTCCCATTGTTTTTATCATCAACATGGAGAACTTGGAGTAGCTCTGTTAATCAAAAAATGTCTTCGCACAATCATATAGCAAAGTAAGGAAAATGTTTATTTTTTTTCTCTGTTTGATAACATTAGGACTTTGTTTCTTTTCCTTACTTTATCTATACCAGGTGCTCTTGAAGGCACCTTTCTCACTATTTTTACGTTTATTTGCTTCATATTAAGTTTAGTTAATTTAGCACTCCGGTTTCTTTATTGAGGTAACCGGCATATCATTGCCAGTTACACTTTATGGATTGACAATCTGATTCCCTTTTTACCGGAGACCGGTGAATGGACTGGATGTGTATGGACAGGTTATGTAGTGGTATTCCCACAGGTTGCAGCTATTTACTCCGTGTTAGTTACTTCTGTTGATACATGGACACAATACTGTATTGGATCTGGTTATGATACATTGATAACTACTTAAGTAATGGACTTCTCGATTAAGTCAGGCTGTCCTAGCTAGGGTATATGTGTTTTTGGTTTAACAATAAAGTATCTGCGAGATTTTTAATCATGATTAGTTTGTCCATCGTATGTCATACTTGATAGTGTTGGAACAGATTTTCGCCACTCTTTTGTTATTATTTGTTTAGGGTTACCCCCTTATCTGTTCATATTGATATTGGGACATTGATCTTCTGGCCATTAATTTATTTATCATCAAGATTGATGTTCTCAGCCATGGAGGAAGGTCCCGGCGAGGCCATCCACGACAAGACTGGCACGGCTGGGAAAAAAGGTGAGTAAAATCACTTTTTTACCGGCACAGAGAGGAGGGCGGTAACCTAAACAGCCACTTCAGCATTATAGTGTCAAATGCATGTTTGTAGAACAGTGAGATCCTTCATAGACAATGCTTGAATGCTTGAATCCCATAGTCGTCACTTGTGACAGTTGCTGGGATTTAACAAAAGCTGACAGTGAAACTCTACCTTCTGTCAACCTAAGTCTTGCCCAGAAGACAAAGTAGTCGTTACATTGTCCTATGATATCTTTGGATTATGTATTTCAGTGAATTTCCAGCACAGTCTTGATCAGTTTTTCAATATATCTTCATGAAATACTGCAAAGTGATAGATCCGCTTTAAGAAGGGAAAATTGGTGGTTTTACCTATCCGTATTTACTATTCTTCATTTGTTTCATTTTTTAATTTTGCTATTTTTGTCAAAACTGTGAAATTCTATTGTCAATTTTCCAATTTAGAGTAGATTCAAAGCTCATTTCAAATTTTAGGTAAACTGAAAACAAAGAAAATAAATTGGAGATTTTTTTTTTTAATTCAGCTATTTTGTTCTACAAGTAGAAATTTAGAAGTTAATGATTGTAAGTGTAGCACTCTTCATCAACCAATTTGCTTATTTTCTTAAAGGAACAATACTAAAATACTATAGCTTCCTAAAAAGCTTTATGTGTGCAGTGTGTGTGCTAGTTTTTTCATTTTGCAAAAAGAGCAGCTTTCAATAGATATTGACTCTTTTTATAAATGAACCTTGTTACATCCCCAGTGGCTGTCAATCAGACAGCAGATCCTGTTACTTCCTAGTACAGTTAGCTCAATGGAGCTAAACCTAAGACGCAGCAATAGCTCAGAGCACCTGCCTTGCAAATTCTTATTGGGAAGTCTGTGATTGGACAGCCACAGAAACTCTTGGTGGGGTTAGAAGGGGAGTGCAGCGGACAAAAGACCTACAGGTTTTGCAAGTTGTTTTTACATATTCCCCCAATTAAATGCATGCAAATTTCTATTCGGCTATATCTACTAAACAGGGATTTGTACTTTTTTTGTACAGTATTTGGACAGTAGCGTGTCTCTTTAATGTCACAATGCTGCAAAATATCTAACAGCATTTTGAATTAAGTATTTTATAAAGGCGTTAACATCTATTTATTAAGCAGTCACTTCTACTGAGCTATTAAAGGAATACTCCAAGCACCATAACCACTACAGTGCACTGTAGTGATTAAAGTGCCCTGCCAGGGGTGCCTTGGCACCAGCTTAGGAGCTTCCATTAGCTCTCCTGAGCTAAGCCCTCCAGGGCAGTGCAGGGCTAGCTCATTGGCTGAGAGCAGCAGCTGATTGATCTCAGACAGTAAGCAAAGCCTTGCAGCTCCAGTCATAATTCATTCATAATTCAGGGAGCTTACAGTGCATTGCCAGAAGTAGTGGAAGAGGGAAGCAGCAACTAGCAAAGTGCAAGGGCACCATAACCACTACAGTACAATGCAGTGGTTATGGTGTTTGGAGTGCTCCTTTAATATTACTAATAAAACTCCATCTTGTTCCACAGTGCTGCACAGTTGAGAGCGGATTTGTAAATTGCAATTTACAGTTCAGACATGGTGAAGAGTTATTCCTTCTCTACTACTTTAGTCTGATTTTTTTTGTTACTATATTTACCCACATTCTATTTTAGGCATATCTTATTCATCATGGTACAACCCGTAAAGGCAGAATACAATATACTCACAGATTCCACATGGTGCTGTCCTTGAAGGAATGAAGGATTGTCCATATATTTATCAAAATAACCTATAAACCTCTGCTAGCTATGATAACCCATAAACCCCTGCTGGCTATGATAACGTATAACCCCCTGCTGGCTATGATAACATATAAACCTCTGCTGGCTATGATAACCCATAAACCCCTGCTGGCTATGATAACGTATAAACCTCTGCTGGATATGATAACATATAAACCTCTGCTGGCTATAATAACCCATAACCCTCTGCTGGCTATGATAACCTATAAACCCCTGCTGGCTATGATAACCTATAAACCTCTGCTAGCTATGATAACCCATAAACCCCTGCTGGCTATGATAACCTATAACCCCCTGCTGGCTATGATAACGTATAAACCTCTGCTGGATATGATAACATATAAACCTCTGCTAGCTATAATAACCCATAACCCTCTGCTGGCTATGATAACCTATAAACCCCTGCTGGCTATGATAACCTATAAACCCCTGCTGGCTATAATAACCCATAACCCCCTGCTGGCTATGATAACCTATAAACCCCTGCTGGCTATGATAACCTATAAACCTCTGCTAGCTATAATAACTCATAACCCTCTGCTGGCTATGATAACCTATAAACCCCTGCTGGCTATGATAACCTATAAACCCCTGCTGGCTATAATAACCTATAAACCCCTGCTGGCTATGATAACCTATAAACCTCTGCTAGCTATAATAACCCATAACCCCCTACTGGCTATGATAACCTATAAACCCCTGCTGGCTATGATAACCTATAAACCTCTGCTAGCTATAATAACCCATAACCCTCTGCTGGCTATGATAACCTATAAACCCCTGCTAGCTATGATAACCTATAAACCCCTGCTGACTATGATAACCTATAAACCCCTGCTTGCTATGAGAGACCATGTAAGTTTATGTAACTTTTATGGCATGTTTACACTGTACAAGTTCTTGTATGGTCAGTGAGATGCAGATATCCCCTCTGTAATATCAGACTGTAGGGGGTGGTAAATATCTGCAATCACTTTAAGGTCAGTGCAGATGACTTAAACATTTTGTGTGTGTGTGTGTTTGTATGTATGCGTGTCTGTCTGTATGTATGTGTGTGCCTGTATGTATGTGTGTCTGTCTGTTTGTGTGTCTGCCTGTTTGTATGTATGTCTTTGTATGTATTTGTGTTTGTGTGCCTGTCTGTGTGTGTGTCTGCCTGTATGTGTGTGTGCTTGTCTGTTTGTATGTATGTACGTGCGTCTTGTGTGTGTGTGTGTCTGTATGTATGTGTGTCTGTATGTATGTGTGTCTGTCTGTCTGTGTGTCTGTCTGTATGTATGTGTCTGCCTGTGTGTATGTGTGCCTGTCTGTTTTTTATGTATGTGTCTTTGTATGTATGTGTCTTGTGTGTGTGTCTGTATGTCTGTGTGTCTGTATGTATGTGTGCCTGTCTGTCTGTATGTATGTGTGTGAGTGTCTGTATGTGTGCCTGTCTGTTTGTATGTATGTGTCTGTGTGCCTGTATGTGTGCCTGTCTGTTTGTATGTATGTGTCTGTGTGCCTGTCTCTGTGTTGGTCTGTATGTTTGTGTCTGTGTGTGTCTGTCTGTATGTATATATGTGTGCCTGTCTGTTTGTATGTATGTGTCTGTGTGTATGTGTCTATATGTGTGTGTGTGTCTCTCTGTATGTGTGTGTGTGTCTGTCGGGGGGGCCCACGGATCATTTTCGCACCGGGACCCCATACTTTGTGTGTACGCCACTGGACATGCCTCAGCAGCAATTGGCGATTGTGATTGGCTGAGAGTGTCAGCTGACTGCTTCGAGCCTATTGCAGAGCATGTTGCTGGTATTTATTGGTGTGGTTAGAAGGAAGTGTGTAATCTCTGCCTTAGTCCTACTTGCAATATGGCCCAGGCTGTGAGCAGCCAGAGACCCTTATTTAGTGTTAAACTGCTGAAAAATGGTTTAACACTGAATGAAAAGACAGCGGCAGGGGACTCCACACACTATAATCAATTCAATGATTAAATGTTTATAGTGCCTACAGCGTCCCTTTAAATTAGTTGCAAAGCCCACTAGGTGAACTATCCACAAGTACCACTTTCGCCTCCCTCTCTTCCTAAAAATCTCCATGCCTTCTTACCCTGCACAACAGACCTACTAGCCAATATGCCTTCTGGGTTGCCACTCATAGCTTCTGGCTGACTCCCCTCTTCCCTACTAGTCACTGTGGCTGTCATGACTGGAAACGCAACCTAGTCAGACATGAACGGACACCATATGCTAACACACTTGCTAATTATAAATGAATATTTTAATACATGGTGGAGGGAGATGGGGTTTGTTACCGTGTGGACATTGGATTGCATCAAATATCTCCCTTTGTATCACAGTGCTTAAATTGGTCAGGGTCTAATGCTAACATTATTTCTACAGATTGATACAGGAGTGGGACCAGTTTGAACCTGTGACACAAAAGCAGTCATCCACATTCCTACTGCAAACAAAGTATTATTCATTAATATTTCAATCTACCTGAGCTATTCTATTTACTGTATGTGTCATTTCACCCTCTGAAAATAGCCATTAACAGGAGACACCTGGACAAAAACTGTTAGATATTTTAGAGGAGAATAGAAGGATAGGAACTGGTATGAAGCAGCCTTGGTGGGTGATAAGAGAGATTAGGTTTAAAAAAAGAAGCATTTTGTATTTTGGGTTTATACACTGTACCTGCCTTAAAGTGTGGATGTGTCAGTGTGTCCTTATTTACGCATACACATCCCCTCATTATCTGTGAGATATTTGTGTCTGTGTGATGGGACCTGTTCTATTGCATGTACACTATCTGATTAAAAATACACTTGATATCATATAAACAAAGTAAATTTATCCTACAAATGGTCGTGTCAGCTTTCAAGGTGGAAATAACTTATTTTTTTATTTTTATTTTTGAAAGAGCATTAGTAAAAAAAAAATAATTAAAAAAATAAAACAATGCAGGGATGTATTTTAGAAAGATTATCCTTCAAATGTTGTGCTAATCTCTTAAAGCAACACTCTACTATTATAAGTGCAGGGATAGAGTATTTAAGCACCAAAACCATGTCATGTAAATGTAGCGGTTTTGGCGCAGTTTTACTTAAATACATACATTTAGATATCAACATATGTATCATCTATCTATCTATCTCTGTCTGTTTGTCTATCTATCTATCTATCTAATCTATCTATCTATCTATCTATCTATCTAATCTATCTATGTCTGTTTGTCTATGTATCTATGTATGTATGTATGTATCTATCTATCTAATTTAATCTATCTCTGTCTGTTTGTCTGTCTATCTATCTATCTATCTATCTATCTAATCTATCTCTGTCTGTATGTCTATGTATCTATGTATGTTTGTCTGTCTATCTATCTATCTATCTATCTATCTATCTATCTATCTATCTATCTAATTTAATCTAGCTCTGTCTGTTTGTCTGTCTGTCTATCTATCTATCTATCTATCTAATCTATCTCTGTCTGTATGTCTATGTATCTATGTATGTATGTATGTATCTATCTATCTATCTATCTATCTAATTCTATCTATCTAGCTCTGTCTGTGTGTCTATGTATCTATGTATGCATGTATGTATGTATCTATCTATCCATCTATCTATTTATCTATCTATGTCTGTATATCTATCTATCTATCTATCTATCTAATCTATCTCTGTCTGTCTACCTATCTGCCTGATCGACGGACGGACTATCTATCTATCAATCTATCTATCTAATCTATCTCTGTCTGTGTGTCTGTCTATCTATCTATCTATCTCTGTCTGTGTGTCTGTCTATCTATCTATCTATCTCTGTCTGTGTGTCTGTCTATCTATCTATCTATCTATCTATCTCTGTGTATCTATCTCTGTGTATCTATCTATCTATCGATCTATCTATCAGTTTGTCTGTCTATCTATCTATTTATCTATCAATCTATTAATCTAAGTTTGTCTCTCTTTCTGTCCATCCAATCACAGCTCCATCTATTTAGTACATATAATTGACCTATACACTCCATATGACCATAGGAGCTGAACGAAGGACAGATCCCCATATAGTTTTTCATTGTAGGGTCCCTCAGGGTTAATGAACTGACATCATGATTAAAGCTGACCATTTGTAATGTGTCTAATACAGTGCAGGGCTCTGAAAAGGTTAATGTGCTGAAAGAGGAGACCTTTTAAACCACACCTGCCCCTCATCTGGACAAGGATTCAGAGAGAAGGGGGCTTAGGAAGAGAGGCAAATGAAAAAAAAAAATAGCAATAAATGCAACAAATAAGAAGAATCTGATCATTCAGTAACAGTGAGGAGGGGATGGAAGACAAATGCACCACTTCAGTATATAATACTGAGAAATAAACAATAAAACCTATGAAAGACAGACAGGTTGAGTACAGAAAGCAGAATAGAACACAGAACTATGGTAGGATGATCAGAAGAAGGTGGCGGAATCGGATAAGAAACTGGGTGTTTTTATCCTAAATCAATTATTCTATTAGCTTATGTTATCAAGTGAATATTTAAATATTAGCCTTCTGGTCAAAGAACAGATGTCATGTTACAGCTATTTAATGACCAATACAAGCACGTTATTCTATATAACATGAGTTATCAGGAGCTAATGAAAATATCATTTGAAATTAAGCAGACATTAGTCTCTATTTATTCCTGCATTGCCATTTTTCTAATACAAATGAGAACTTCTGACTTGTTAGTTTGGTAGCACATTATGAGATCATTGGTCAATAGTGATGTCCCGAACGGTTCGCCATGGACGGCGAATATATGCGCTGTTCGGTCCGCCCCCTATTCGTCATCATTGAGTAAACTTTGACCCTGTACCTCACAGTCAGCAGACACATTCCAGCCAATCAGCAGCAGACCCTCCCTCCCAACCCTCCCACCTCCTGGACAGCTCACTAAGAATGCAGCTTCAAAATGGATGCTGTCCAGGAGGTGGGAGGGTCTGGGAGGGAGGGTCTGCTGCTGATTGGCTGGAATGTGTCTGCTGACTGTGAGGTACAGGGTCAAAGTTTACTCAATTATGATATAGGGGGCGGACCGAACAGCGCATATGTTTGCCGTCCGCGGCGAACCGTTCGGCTAACCGTTCGGGACATCACTATTGGTCAATGTTGGTATGTTCCATAGATGTCTATTTACACCCTGGATGTGTGTAAACTGCATTTCCCAAAGTGCTATCTGATAGCCTAATGTTATTTCACGAAAATCTCAGAGTTTTGAAAAAAATTTAACAAAAGTGGGGAGACTCTGGGAAAAAAACTATTACGAAGTTGTTCGCTAATGTCATCCACTCCGGGGAGGTATTGGTGGCATTCCCTTCGCACAAACACTTTGACATTTATGGGTGGGAGTTATTGGTTAATTTTTTAGAAAAACGGTTTCTGTGGCTTAGCAAGTATTTTTGAATTTGATAAGTATCTGATGGTACAGTTGTTCTGTCTTCGACTCTTCTTGCTTGACAAAGACCCATTTGTGGGTTGAAACGTTACATGGTACCTTCTGTTCTAACAAATTTGCCTGAAGCTGCTGGAGTGCCTGGACCTCTTTTCTATTTTTGGTATTTACATTTAATGTGCTTATGCTGGGGCATGGTCCACTTTAGCACCCTTGGCTTTTTTGTGGATTAAGTGTGGTTCCTATGGGTATATTTAAACTCATCTTCAGCACCATTGTGATAGCCGAAGCATAAATATTCAATATATGATATAGTGTCTTTTTTCACCGAACCGACAACAGTGTTGTTGAAAAGTATTGGAATGATGAGATTGTATTGTACCCCTTTTTGTCTTAAACTGAGTCATGTATTCACGTACGATTTTTACTGAGACGTTTTAGTAAGAGAGGAACTTACGTTGTCCTTGCGTTGGGATACAACTGGTAAGAAGAATCGCCACATAGAGAGCATCATTACACAAAAATTGAATTTTTATTTTTAATTTATCTTCTTCCTGAACGTCGTATGAGTGTTTGTTAAATTTTATTTGTCACAGTGTGAATTTGCAAACATATTCTTTGAAGGTGGATCTATAAAGGTTTAAAATGTATACATTTTCACATAAAACCTCCTACCATATATCAATTACCATGAATAAATTATTGATAATGAAAAGCTGGGTAAGCATGCTGGGAATTGTAGTCTACAGCGAGACAAGCCTAGCCTCTGCTCTGCATTGCAGCGGCTGACATTGCTGGGAGTTGTAGAATGGATTAAAATGTGCCTTAAAGAAAAATTAAAAACAGTATTTAACACAAAAATAGCATAATAAAAAATACAAAATGAAATGATTTCATTAATACGTTTTACTTCAAAAGCCTCTAGAGTAGGCCTAAAAATAGTTTAACACTGTGACCAGATAGGGGGCATTACGTTTAGATCAATAAACCATTTCCACCAAATGCAACATTATTTCACAAATCTTCTCTTTTTCTCCCCAATAAACAGGCCACGTAACCTGATGAGCTGGGGAGGGGGCTGGGTGACAATGTATCACTGCTAGGTTTGGGTGATACTGTATGAGTATATCTGGTATGAAATGATGCGGGTTCGAATTCCAGGCGCCAGACACTTGTCTCTCATCTCCCACCATCCAGCAATCATATACACAAATCAGCAAAGAGGGGGTGTGAAAGCAATGGGGGCTCTGGAAATGCAGTAATACATTAAAGTGACAGTAAAACCTCATGACAACCCCACATCATATTACTACATTAAAGGCAATATTTATTACAATATGTATGTTGAGTTACATTAAACCGAGCCAATATATCTATGCTATGCAGCTTGCTTTTATACTCACAAGGGTTATTTACTAATGTGAGCATCCAAAGTGAATTCCAAATGTAAGGCCAGACTAGGCGACCTAGAAGCATAGCTGACTAAGAGGATTTTTCCAGCTAGGCTATTTTGAACTTAAATTTGAAATTCACTTGGAATTCTCACTTTATTGAATAGCCCTGTCAGTGTTACCTCTAAATAAATCAGACTGCATGTTTAGACTGACAGCCTTAAAGAAAATCGTAAAGACAATCCCAGAAAACCATCAGTGGTGGGCTGCTCAGGGTGTGTCGGTAGCTGACTTTTTCTCATTGCTACAGTAAGCAAACTTTTTTTTTTTAAATTAGATAAATCAATGGAAAGAGTCTAGTTAGGATTCCCTCTGTTGATTGTAGTTAAAAGGAGTATATTTCACTTCTTTAACCCCTTAAGGACACATGACATGTGTGACATGTCATGATTCCCTTTTATTCCAGACGTTTGGTCCTTAAGGGGTTAAGAGAAAGACACTTAAAGCTCGAAGCTCAGCAGAAAGGCTTTGCTATGGACTTTCTGCTGAAATATTAGCCTAACATTGAAAAATTATTACACTTGTGCAGTGCAAGAATATTTGACTCGGCCTATCCATTTTTGCAGAAAACAGATTTTTTTTGGGGGGGATGGCGGAATTTCAGTTTGGCGCAGCAGAATTTCGGTACCTGAAAAACTGATTCGGGAACTGAATTATACGAACTAAAAGGATACGAAAATCGACCAATAGGTGTACTGGAAAATGTATAAATAATATCTTAAACACAACAAAAACATGTATTCCTGACACTATAATCCTGAAGTAGCTGTTTAGGTGATTGCCCCACTCCAATTTTACTCACCTTTTCTCCCATGCCGCACCTGTCTCATCGTGGCTGCATGGCTGAGATCATCAATCTTGATGCTCTCAGCCAATCCAATGTTTTCCATTGGAAATTATTGGGAAGGTACAGCGCATGCGCTGAGCCATTCAATTTCTCCTCATAGTGATGCATTGAATCAATCCATCTCTACTTGGAACGTTCAGTGCCTCCATGCAGAGAGTGGACATGCTGAACGCCAGTGAGATACACTGCACAGCACTGTACATGGAAACACCTCTAGTAGACATCTGAGTGACTGCCACTACAGGTGTTGATAGACAGTAATGTAAACACTTTACATTGCTCAGCCTGTAGGACCAGGGTATAGACACTAGAACATCTACATTAATCTGTAGTGGTTTTGGTGACTATAGTGTCCCTTTAGTGAGAAAAAGTAGCCAACAGCAGGAAAAAGAAGAGTAGCAGTGATAAAAAGAAAGTCTATATTTATATAATGTATATTTATTAAATGTAACTTACACATATATAGATATAGATTTTTCCTACTTTTCCCCCTCTACTTCTCACATGATCTGTGAATAAAATCAATATTTAGTTACTGTCCCCTAACCGTCAATCACCTGTTCTTCCCCATAAATCATCCTTATTTTGAAACCACACTCTGAGTTCAGAATCACGAATGAAAACATGCTCGGCCACTGCATGTTTCGGTTGGTTTGCGATTCGGGTACATTTCGGCTCAGAGTTCGGTAATTCGACCGATCATCCGATTGTCCCAAATTCAGAGTAATTGCAGTTCGGAACAAAACTAATCTCCAAGTTTAGAAATTACGTTTTAGTTCAGGTTGTGCTGGTAATACTGCCAGTATTTGATAAACTTGAAATTTTGGATGAAATATAGTGACTTAAAATACTTTGACGTAAAGCTAGTTTAGACCATGCTGTCAAGCAGTTTACCAATTAATGTAATAACATTTGTCTGTTCAGCATCCCTCTGGTAGTGTATTTAGTTGGATCATGTAATTGGACACTGAGACTTTGCTCAATTCTGTTGAGGCACCACGTTAACCCTGACATTAACCATTGAGAAAATACTGGGGCTCTCTCTTGTTAATAGGGAGCCCTGCTGACCTTATAGTGAATGAAAGTCCTCATCTCACCACCCAGGAGATGTGGCATAGCTGGAGGACCATCTGTTCCCCTGCTCCATGTGCTAGACCACTTCCTACTGCACATGGATTTTGAAGTTAGAAGGCCATTGAGAAGGGACCCCTCTAGTTAAGTGAGGTTTTAGGGGCCCCACTATTTTCCAGCCCTCACCATCAATTATGGTGTCAAGAATAGAGAGTAAACTGTAAGTTGCCCCCCACCCTCTCCAATCAAATGTGAGGAACATCAAAAAGATTATACCAGATGTTCAAACCTTGATTAATCAACCATTTTAGTTTCAGGAGCCTCCTACATTCTGGTATTTAGTAAATTGTTGACTTACCATGCTAGTACAGCATATTGGTTGTTTTTCAAGCAGTGCTTAACTTCAGTTGACCGGAGAGTGACTCTTGCAACCCTTTTGGTTTACCTGATAGGAAAACATAAAGATTATAATTTTACAGTATCAGGTATACATTATTACAGGGGTAGGCAACCTTCGGCACTCCAGATGTTGTGGACTTCATCTCCCATAATGCTTTTACAACCATAAAGCTGGCAAAGCATCAGGCGAGATGTAGTCCACAGCATCTGACCTGATGAAGGTCACCTACAACAGTGATTATTGTATTGTGCGGCAGAAATCAAATCTAAGGTCCAGTACTGTATATGTAATAAAATAAATTAATTATGTGATGAATACATATACAAAAAAAAGCTGTTTATATGATCTTATAAACCGGATTAAATTCTAGTAATTACAATACAGTGAGAATTCTCTTTGCCTCTCCCCTATAATAAAAACATATATAAAAATAATTAGAGAACCCTGTGCAGCAGTTTAATGCATAACCAATTTTGGGGCAAATTGTCCCACTTAGAGAATTCACAATAAAAACCAGATGACAGTTCTTGCTACAGTCTCTAGATTTGGACTTGGCAAATAAGTTGTAAAAGTGGTTTGCCAGGATGAATACACTGATATTTGCACTTCTTATAAATGTATTCTTACAAATGTATTCTCTGACACAAAGTTTATGTCTACTGTAAATATCAATAGAAATTTTCTTATTCTCACCTTTATCCATAATTCTACTGTGACATTCATATTTCATAAAATCATCTAATATTAATCCTCCTTAATTTCCAGTCCTGTCTAAAGTAAATTTATCTAACTAGTATACACATATGTATTTAGTTCCCCAGAGCAGATTCATGGGAATATGGTAGAGTTTTTATTTTTTTATAAACAATATTTCCTTCCATTTCCATATGTTCTTCAAACTGCTGAATACTCTGACATTAATAAGTGGGATATAAATTCAGTGTATTTCCTTAATGTTGATTATCTTCACATTCATTGTGGGCTGACAATATGTAACAAACTAATAATGTGAGTTAGATGGGAAATTAGATGGGAGATTTGTTAGGATAACACATGTAACTTATTTTCCTTTATTTTTTTATTTTATCTTATTAAACTGACAGATGATGGCTAGTTGGATAGATAAACAGAGAGAAAGAAAGGCAGTGAGGGTTAAAGACAGAAAGAGAGAAATATAGCCAGAAAAAAAGAGATATATCTGTGAATTGTTGAGTGCAGGGTTGTAGAGTCTCAGTATAAAGTAAAGGTATTTTGAGAGTTGCCCAGAAAGCCTTTCCTTGCTGTTACCTGCAGGGGATACAAGGTAGCTATCCCATCCATTGGACTGAAGGCAGGCGCTTCCACTACATGGCAGGAGCACTCATTCAGTCAGTGTCCCAAGTCTCTGTCCCTTACTTTATGAAGGCAGAAGCATGGGGAGAAGGGATTCCAGAGGAATTTCATTTTTGTCCGGGATGGCAGCGTTCTGTGATTGGTTCTGTTTAGCTGAGTTTTTCATGCAAATATAACCACACCAGCAGGCTGCCTGGAGAGCAGTGGGGACTGCTGTTGTAGAGGGCAGGGCTGCAGTCTGTCTGTGTGTGTGTGTGTGTGTGTGTGTGTGTGTGCAAACTGGAAGCAAAGAGACCCCCTGATAAAATCATCACCCCCTCCTCCTCCACCCCACCCCCACACCTTTCACTCAAGCTTCATCCTCCTCATCCTCTCCTGTTCCTTCCTATGCTACCAGGATGAGCAGTAAAGAAGAGGCCAGTAAGTGTGTCCCAGCCACTCTGTCAACCTTCACCATCCAGTCCATCCTGCAGGGCACCACGTCTGACCGAGGGAGAGCCAGTGCCAGGGTTTATACCAGAGAGCCAGTCTCATGCCAGGAGACCAGCCCTGCATCATCCTCAGATGAAGAGGAGGCAGAGGAAGAATGGAGAGGGCATGGGTGCTGTTGCCCTGACAATGGGACCAAGGATTCTAAGGGACTAACTACCCACACCTGCCTACCCCACAGGTGCCCCAGTAAGTACCTACCTCCTCCTTATCCTGTTCTGTCTAATGAATCCTCTCTCTAGGGACCCATTCACTGCCTATTGTTTGGTGCCTAGGACAGAGAACTGAAGACTTTTTTTTAAATGAAAGATCCAAAAAATGTATCTAAACAATTCTGCAACTCCAGATCTTCATCAGAATTAAACAAGGGAATAAAAAAAGACTAGAAAATTAATTAAAGGGCTATTTCTCCGCCTCGTTTACTTTAGAACCAGCAGCATTCAATAAAATAGGTGTATATATATATATATATATATATATATATATATATATATATATATATATATATATATATATATATATATATATATATATATATATATATATATATATATATATATTTATATATATATATATATATATAAATATTAATGTCAGTGTGTTTTTGGTTGTATTTTTTTTTTTGTATATGGCAAACGAGAGAAACATTAGATCAGATAGTATCTGTTCTAGAACGGAAAGAGAAATGTTGAGAGTGGAGATCAGTGATCTCTGTCTAGCCTGCCGAATAATTTCACAAATATTAACATTACTTTGTAATGTCTTGTACTCAGTGCAATTATTTAACATGAAAATATGATTTATTATTATTATTATTATTAAAAAATATTTATAGTTGCTGTGGTGTATAGTATACAGATCAAATTATTTTCATTCTGTGATTTTATTTTGTTACCCAGAATGTTATATAAAATATTATATATATAAATATGTAATGTTTTATATATGACATGCTCGGTGTGTGTGTGTGATGATTCAGTGTTAGCAATGTACATGTGGAAATAAATATGTTGAGCATAGACTACAATTCTCACTAGTCACATATAATAAAAATGTATCAATGCTTGCTCAAGTCAGATTTCAATAAATAATTTTACTGACTCTAGTATCATTCAATAGATCCCGAGCCTCTCCAAAAACGGGTTTATTTAAAAGAGCACCCCCTGGTGAGACACTGGGGCAACACCAGTAAGACATTTTAGCATTTGATTCGTGAACTAGAAAACCCTTTTTCTCCGAATGCAGTAATATTTATTATTATTACTGCTATTTATAAAGCGCCAACAGATTCCGCAGCGCTGTACAATTAGTGGGAAAAAGTACAATATACACAGACAATACAAGGGGTAGAGAGAGCCCTGCCTGTAAGCTGATATCTAGCCATTGGAGCTCTTTTATACAAAGTGCTTGGCTAGATGGCCCGTGAGCTTACAATCTAAAGCTACTTGGCATTATTTGCACTGATTTTTCTGAAATTCTGGAGGTTTAACGCGTTGATTACCAGAGTTTAATTATAAAGTACTTTGTTATTGTGTTAGATAGGTTTTTTTTTTCATAGAGTGCAATTTGTCATTTTTAGAAAAAAAAACCTAGCCCAGTTTTTAAAGGCTATATGATGTATTTTCATTCTTTAATTTGCAATAGGTGTAAAAAATTAAGTAATATTTCATTCTAAATCCAGAGACTGAAACGTACAATCCAAAGAGAATTGGGATCTATTATTTCTGTAGTGTCATTAATTAAAAATGGTAAAATACAGCATAAATAACGAAGCTGTTAGTAGTTAACGAGAACCTTAGGGGTGCTAGCCTTAAATAAATCACCACATTGCAATGGGGAGCTGTTTTGTTTAGTTAGACTCATTAGTCTCACACATATTATTCACGTTTTTACGCCTATAAAATAAATGATGCTACTGGCTTCATGCTTAATACAGAGTGCATTGCATAGTCTCTGGTAGCAGAGGGGTCAGTAATATGTGCTGATAATAAAAGTGATATCTTGTATCTCTTGCAGACACTACTCAAGGTCCACACAGTACAGAGAGGCTTCAGGTCCCATCTCCAACCCAACAGGACTTCCCAGGGGACAAAAACAGACGTTTCACCCCAAACACCCCTTCCTCAGCAGAGAGGCACAGGGATGGAGGGGACAGGCAAGTGAACTCTAAGAAGAAGACTAGGACAGTGTTTTCCAGAAGTCAGGTATACCAACTGGAGTCCACCTTTGATATGAAAAGATACCTGAGCAGCTCTGAGAGGGCTTGCTTGGCATCAAGTCTTCAGCTGACAGAAACCCAAGTCAAAACCTGGTTCCAAAACCGAAGAAACAAGTGGAAAAGACAGTTATCAGCCGAATTAGAGGCTGCTAACATGGCCCATGCATCTGCACAGACTTTGGTGGGAATGCCCTTGGTCCTCAGAGACAACTCCATTCTGAGAGTCCCTGTACCCAGATCTATCACCTTCCCAGCTCCCATCTATTACCCAGGCAGTAACATGTCCATACCTCTTTATAATATATACAACAAACTGGAATATTAACTGTACCTCTACAGAAACTGTGAGGAACCGAGATACCTTAAGCTGCTGATACAAACACATTCCCCCCAAAAAAACTCACCTCCTCATCTGTGAATGGTCAAATTAAACATGTTTTGTTTTCCCACAAAGGATAGTACATACACCATGTGTATACTCCAACCTGTCTGCTTTATGTTTGAGATAATTTTCTGCATATATTTTGTATGTTTTATTTAAGCAGGTACATATGAATTATTATTCTTTTTTTTATTACAGACATCAACATTTTTCCCCCTTACAATTTTCTAAACTTAAAATGCCTGTAAATGTATAAAAACAAAAACAAATCATTAAGTCAATAGTTCTTTCCATGGGACAGGAAAACCGCTATTGCTAAAAGAATGGGTTAATATATGTAAATATCATTTTTTAAAATAAATAATTTTAAAACCAATTAGTAACTTAACTTTCTTGTTACAAGTAAATGGTCATTTTTTTTTCAATTTTATGTTTTTGTTTTTTTTAATTGGTATCTTATTTGCAAAACGATTGCTCAAAACACAATGGCTTGTGTCTGCTTGACTTGTGTCCAACAGCAGATTAAAAAACAAAAATTGTCTGATAAATCGCATATTCAATTCGTAACTGTATTTCTAAAAGCATTTGGCTAAAGGCTACAATTTCATTTTTTTATTTTTTATTTATTTATTTTTTGAGCAATTCAGCATGTACATTACAATACAAACTACATAGCACTGTTATTCGTTTAACACGGTATATTTAAATCAAATGGAAAAAAACGCAAAGCACACATTAGTAGAAATGTCGATATAACATGACACAATTGATATCTATCCTACATGGATAAATAATGGTATATTTTTAATTAGAAGTAAATTAAAATAATATAGTGACTGTTGTAAATGCAGTAATTAAATCTCTTTTTATCAAGGGCTACAGTCACATTTTTCGACTAAGATAATAATTTTTTTTCTAAATTTATATTAAAAAACAAACAAATATCTTTAGGAAATAAAAGTAAAATAGGTTTAACTCAATAAAGACTATATATTTAAGAAAGCAATAACCTATAAAAGTCCCTTCTCAAATTTTTTTTTTATTTTTTTTTTTAAGAATACGCACAGTCAAACAACATTCACAGAATGTTTGGTGTGTTTTTTTCAACATTATTATGATTTAGTTTATAATATAACGCATGCTACCATTTCTCTATTTAACCACTTACATAAGAATCAGTTTACATAAGATCACCATACGATTACATAATTTGATGCATGTCGGCTCAATATGCCCTGGACACTACAATTCCTACTTAATGAACACAAAATACTACCAGTAAAAGATCATCAATTTATTTCTAAATAGTACACTCTGTCCATTTTGTAACCTACTTTCTGATTTTAAGACTACCCATGGATTTCCTTTATGATGATTGTTATCTTTGCCTTCAAGCTTATAAAATAGTACACACCTGCAATCCCTGGCATTTTCCAATCAGCCTTAATAAAACCAGCCCAAAACAAGCAAAATAAAATATTTTTTTTTTTTTAAATTCTCCCCCCCACCCCCCTTTTCTTTTTTTAAAATGTAACTGTATATAAATGGCTGGCAGTGGAGTGTGAAGTATAAGACCACCTGTTTCAGTCAATGGCTCAGTATTGCTGGGTATAAAAGCCCAGCGATAAAGCAATGATCCTGAGAGATGTGTCTGATAATTAAATGTGTCATTCTCTCTCCCCAAATAGACATTGTCAGGGTAATGAGTTCTGTCAATGAAACAATCTGCATGTTTACCTTCCAGGGAGATCGACAGATTTTAATATGTAACCGGTTAGTCGCAGCGTTTATAAAAAAAAAAAAAAACAGACTGGCGAACAGGCGATAAATTTCGCTAGAGAAATAAAGAGTAATATTTATTATTCTGTTCCAAGCAGTAAAACAGGATTTAGATTTTTCAGAGAGAGAGAGAGAAGAGGGGATCCTAAAAAGATCTCTCACTTGACAGCTTGGCCTATACATTATATATAAATGATAACCATCCACAAATACATATACACATATTATGTTGTGTTGTGTGTGTATTTACATGCATGTGTGTTATACACATTTGCAATCGTATTCAAATAAAATATAGAATTTATTTAGATTTGAAAGTATGTATGTATTTACCTTATACACATTGGTAAATGCACTGAAAGACAACATAATATATGCATGTATGTTTGTGAATAAATGGACCTTGTGTACAGTGGTACATTTGTATAGCTGTACCAGTTATATACAATTGTAAGTTTGAATACTTGTAGCTGATATACATTGGTAAGTTTGTATATTTGTAGCTGGTATAGTTTGTGTATCTGTACCTTGTATACAGCGCTAAGAGTGTTAAAAGAACACATTTTAAACAAATCTATTTGAATAGGATGTATTTGTATCCCACTCCCAAAATGCATTGCAGCAATATGCAAATCAATACACATTAGCAGAATGTTTTGAGGCCTTAATGTAAGAGAGACATACACACATTACCATTTCAATAATCCCTGGGATTTGTGAATTGTGTTCTTGTGTAATGGATGTCAAGGTTTTCTAAAATTGAGCAAATGCTGTGATATAATATATATAATATACAGGGAATAAATATCAATAAAAACTTACACGAATGAGGGTAACTCTCAATAGGAAATGACAGTAGAGAGTAAAATTCAGTACTGTATTAGAGGTGGCACTGTTGGCTTCTCATATTTACTAAAAAAGCACAAAGTATTGTGATAAAAATGGTCTTAGTAAAGTGGCACTTCTTCAAGCACAGCAGTGTTTCTGTGGGTTAATTGAATGGGCTTTCAATAACAAAGGATTAGTGAGCCCCTAACTGCAGAACATACCATATTTACTGAATCTAGGGCGGTTTTAGAAGTTTTGAGCTTCTAATTTTTGAATATAATTCCTTAATTTATGAAAGCATATCTGGGTTATATCCTGTGAGGCCTAGTGCTCTCTCTGAGTTCCACAGATTCCTTTTTTTGTCTTCAACAGCCTCAACTACCTCAGATAATATATATCAATAGATTTTATTAAAGACACAACTCTTTCTTTAATTCCCTCAGCAGCAAAGATAGAGAGGAATATAAATATATCAAAATGAGAAAAAAAAAACCTGTACACTCCCTGCCTGGGGTTTCTCCCGGTCGATTGGGTCCTCCACCGGACCCCCTCCTCCTAAGTACCCTGGGTGGCTGCCTGGTGGACTACCAAGCATGTCCCTGCTCGTGGGCACCAGCGGGCCTCCGCTCGTTTCGACTGCGGCTCCCTCGGGCAGGCAGGGTGGACCGCGAGGGTATTGGTGAACGCGGCCCCCTCCCCTTGCTGCTAGCAAACCGCGGCTGATTCTTTCTAACAAATATGGCTTCTGAGGAGTTTCATGCCCTTCTGGACTCCACTATGGCTTCATATATTCAGAGAGTCTTTGCCTCTGCCATGGGAGCGGTGTTGTCATTGCTATCCCAGACGTTGGTGCAGGCCCTTTTGCTGCCCTCGGCAGCTGCCCCTGCCATCCTGGGTATTGGGCCACCTTCTGCCCATGCCACGCCTGGGGCACGTAAGGCTCTGGCGAAACACCTCACCTCCCACTCCTCGATACAGGTATTGCCTGCCATGACGGACACGCTTGAGGCGGTCAAAGATGGCGTGCTCCCAACACACAAAAAAGCCCCAGGCCAGGCAAAAATGACCAGATTGTGGAAACGGGCTAGGTCGCGTGAAGAGAGGTTGGATACCGACCAGAGGAGGAGTATGCCTCTTATGATGAGGCTGATACTGGGGCTACCACCAAGGATAGTTTCGCTCGGGCGGTGGGTGGAAGCGCGACTCTTTCGGACCCTCATGGTAAACATCTGTTCAATACGGATTACCTGCATCACCCCCGGTCGGCTGAATGGGAACCCCCTGGGCATATTGCCCAGTATATAGTGCATCTTATGCACACCCCCCTCTTTAAAGAGGGGTGCAGTAAGCTGCGCGCAGAATGCCCCAGGCCTTTGGTCCCAGGCTCTGCCTATAAGACCCCTGAAGTGGACCCACAAATTGCCCAGGTAGGGTCTTGACTTCATTCTCTAAATCATTCTCGATCAGAATAAGATCATGGACGCACTGGGGCCCTTGTCAAAGATATATGAGCTGCTTGACTCCGCTAAGGCGGGTGAATCGGAGTTGGACCTGGACGTAGCCATTGGCTGGGTTCAGCGAGCCATCTGCCTTCTGGGCAATGCCAATACGGCCGAACCCAGGAAGGCGATCCTATTAAAGATTAACCCTAATTGGCAAATATGGCCATATCAGAGCCCGGTCCCTCTGCTGAAGGGACAATTTTTTCAAGGACCTGGGTCCTACATGAAGACGTTCACGGCGATCGATAAGGCCCAGGCGAATATGAAAAGAGTATTTTCTCCAAAGGTTTTTGTAGCGGAGCTGCAATATTAAAATCAATATCTCTGCTGGTAGACTGTAGAACATCAAAGAGAAGCGCAGGGTAGCAATATAATCCCAATTCCCCAGTAACCGAACGATACACAGTTCTGGGAGTCAACTGATTTTTATTCAACCACAGCTGGCTTTTATGCAACTCCCCATGCAAGGGGTTTCTTAATTACATTCCAGGGGTTTTCCCCTGGTGGACAGTGTTGGAGACAAGGGACAAACCAACATTTCACAGACTCCTCCTTTGTGCCTGGGAGATAATTGAGCAAGAACAACTCTTTAATTACATTATTTCCAAGGTACAGATAAAATACAATATTATGAAACCTCATAAAACATATTTTAATAGTTCAGAACTCCACAAAAGCTACTTCACCGAATAGCAGGGATGTGAGCACCCACTTTGTCGAAATATTACTCAGATCCGTTTGGTAGATTAGGAACGCCATTCGAGTGAAGTTTAGACCAGTCACCAACAAGGTGAAGCCCCAAAATAGTTGCAGGGGGTTTTAGGCTTTGACCGGTCTTCTTTTGGGAGTATAAAACATAGAAAATAACAAATGAAACCATTCGTATAACGGGGGTTGTGTGCCCCGTGTTCGGTACTTTATTTCATACGAATGCCATTCTTTATAGGTGAACTGAATCGAACACACGAAGGAGTGGTAGTTCAGCGGTGCTCACGCTGTCGATTGTCTGATTATAGTTCCATGCACTCAACAACCAAACACCGCTGTCTGTGTTCGTGGACAAAGATGGCAGCCGCCACATCTTCGGTCATACAAACGACGGCCACCCAGCCGACCACCTAGAACCTTGCGGTTTCTCAGTGTGAATAAAGTCAATTGGAGGCACACGACTCCCCTGGGTGGTCCAACTGTTCGGTTGATGGTTCAGCATATGAACAA